CCCAGCCACACTCCCCTGTCAGCATTCACAGACCACAGTAAGAACAGACCCAGTTCGTCACATGGTGTCACAGCCAGCTCGTGATGTCGGGGGGGGGGGATGTTACGAGGCTCCGGTGTCACTCACCGCAGGCTGTGATGTCACTGCGACATGTGATGTCATGTCCTGAGCCAGGCAGCATCACCCCGGTGCGTGATGATGTCACGCTCGGCACCCTGTGATGTCATACACAGGGGGCTGTGATGTCATACGGCTGTGAGGTCACCCACCCGGGATTCTTGTGACCTCACGTGCCAGTCATTACGAGGTGACAGGGGTGTGATGTCATAAGCCGGGGTGATGTCAGCAGGCTCTGATGTCACACACGGATTCCTGTTATGTCATACTCAGACTGCTGTGATGTCAGGGTTGTGAGGTCACCCGCAGATAATGGTGATGTCATGAGCACGGCACTGATATCACCCACTGAGGTCCTCTGACCCCCCCACGCCACTGCCCACCACCATGGGGCTGCCCCCCAAGCTCCGCCCCCAACCGAGCCCCCGCTCTCTGCCCCCAACACGGTCCCCTCTTCCTACCCAGCTCCGCCCCCAACCCAGCCCCGTCTCTCTGACCCCAGGAATTCCTGGATGACCCCAAATACAGCACAGACGAAGACCTGCCGGAGAAGCTGGAGGCCTTCAAGAGTGAGTGACGCCCGAGGGGCGGACGGGGGCTCATTTGGGGTGGGGCCAAGTCGCCTGAGGGCTGAGGGGGAGACCAGGGGTCCCAGGCCCCCTGGGGGTGGGGGGCAGCAGGTGCCAGGGGGCTGGTGATGGGGCAACGCCCCTGAGAGTGTGGGGGGAGCGGGGGCCCCGAGTGCCTCTGTCTAATCCTCTTGTCCGTCCGTCCCTCCTGCAGAGAAATACATGGAGTTCGACCTCAACGGGGAGGGGGACATCGGTGAGTTCCCGTGTGCGAGCGTGTGTGTGTGAATGTGCGTGTGTGAGCATGTTTGTGTGTGTGCGAGCGTGTGCAACCGTGTGTGTGTACGAGCATGTGTGTGCAAGCATGTGTGTGTGAGCGTGTGCGAGCGTGAGCACGTGCGGACGTGTGTGTGCGAGCGTGTTTGTGCGAACGTGTGGGAGCGTGTGCGAGTGTGTGTGTGCGTGCAAGCATGGGTGTGTGTGCGACTGTGTGTGTGTGCGCTACTGTGTGCGTGTGCGAGCGTGTGTGTGCGAGCGTGGGCGTGTCCCCGCTGGCCCCCTGATCTCTGCTCCCCCCCAGACATCATGGCTCTGAAGCGGATGCTGGAGAAGCTGGGGGCGGCCAAGACCCACCTGGAGCTGAAGAAAATGATCACGGAGGTGACGGGCGGCCAGGGCGAGACCATCAGCTACCGGGACTTCGTCCGCATGATGCTGGGCAAGCGCTCGGCCATCTTCAAACTGTGAGCACCCCTCACTCCCGACCCGCAGCCCCGGGATCCCCGCCCAGCCGGCACCCCTCACTCCCGACCCGCAGCCCCGGGACCCCCGCCCAGCCGGCGCCCCTCACTCCCGACCCGCAGCCCCCGTCCCCCCTGTCCCCGCAGCCCGGCCGGCGCCCCTCACTCCCGACCTGCAGCCCCCGTCCCCCCTGTATCCCCCGCCCGGCCGATGCCCCTCACTCCCGACCCGCAGCCCCCGTCCCCCCTGCCTCCCCAGCCCGGCCGGCGCCCCTCACTCCCGACCCGCAGCCCCTGGGTCCCCCTGTCGTTCACCCCGTCTCCGTCCCCCCCGCAGGATCCTGATGTATGAAGACAAAGCCAAGGAGAAGGAGGAGAAGCCAGCCGGCCCCCCAGCCAAAAGGGCCATCACTGACCTCCCCTAGCTGACCCCGGCGCCCCCCCTCCGGGGAGCTGTTGGGGGCCCCGGGCAGGGAGCTTCTGCATCCCTGCTCTGGGGTTCCCCTGGTTCATGTCGCTGCTGGAAACCAAGCCACTAACAACGTCCGTGGGGGGGCAGGGGGGCAGCACCCAGGCTGGGGTGGCAGGGTTGGGGGGGCTGGGAGGCAGCCTGCAGGCTGGGGGGGCAGGGTTGGGATGGCTGGGGGGTGCAGTTTTGCCAGACCCACTAGGGGGCAGCACATCGGGGGAGCCTGGGGGGCAGGTCCTGGGGGAGGCTGGTTTTGCAGGGGGGCCCTGGGGGCCAGAGCTGAGCCCCCCCTCAGTTCACCTCGACATGTCCCCTGGGCTGAGGATCGTGACCTCTTCCCCCCCCCCCCGCGCCCTCTTTGGCCCTAGCTCCTAACTCCCGCCAACCCTGCAAAGGATTCTGGGATTGTCAGACCTTATCACACCTCCCCTATGACTCCCGCCAACCCTGCAAAGGATTCTGGGATTGATAGACCTTGTCACACACAGGACCCCCCCCCCCACATGACATATGCTAAGCCTGCAAAGGATTTTGGGATTGCCCCTCCCCCCATGCCAGACTCACGCCAACCCCACAAAGGTTTCTGGGCCAGCCAAGGCGGGGGAGGTTAAAGGTCGAGAGCCCCTTGGCACTCATGGGGTCGGTGTGAGGGGTGAAAGGTCGGGGGTCACAGGGGGTGACCCATACGTGCGGCACTGTCAATAAAGGCCTCTTAATGACCCTGCTGTTGCCTGGTGGTTTCTATGGGGGGGGTCACTGATCATGGGGGGAGCATGATGTCATCCCCAGCCAATCAGGAGCCTCCAGGCAGGTGCAATGGGGATAGAAGTCTCTGATTGGCGAGGAAGTGGGTGAGTTGGGCTTTTCCGCCCGGGTGGAATGATCCATTAGCAGCGGAGGTGGGAATGTCCCATTATAGAGGGGAAGTGGGGGTGCCTTCCAGTGGAATGGCCCATTATAGCCGGGGGGGGGCGGTGGGTTGGGATGGAATGTACCATTATAGAAGGGTGGGAGGTATCTCCTGATGGAAAGGTCCATTATAGCAACATAGAATGGGAAGGGCCCTCGAGAGGTGTCTGGTCCGGTCCCCTGCACTCAGGGCAGGACTCAGTATTATCTAGACCAGGGGAGGGCGAACCGGCACCACATCCCTGCGGCCCTGGGGGGAGGGGACAGAGGGCTCGGTGCGCCGCCCTCGCCTGCAGGCACCGCCCCTGCAGCTCCCATTGGCCGAGAATGGGGACCTGCGGCCAATGGGAGCTTCGGGGGTGGTACCCGCAGGCGAGGGCCTCACCCCACCCCCAGGGGCCACTGCTGGACATGCTGGCCACCTCCGGGAGCAGCACAGGGCCAGGGCAGGCTGGGAGCCTACCTTAGCCCCCCTGCACGCCCTGCCACCCCGGAGCCGCTCCAGGTAAGCAGTGCCGGGCCGGAGCCTGCACCCCGAACCCCTCCTGCACCAAACCCCCTGCCGCAGGCCCTCCTGCACCCCGCTCCCCTGCCCTGAGCCCCCTCCTGCACCCCACCCACACCCCAACCCCCTGCCCTACATTCATGGCCCTGCATACGATTTCCCCACCCAGATGTGGCCCTTGGGCCAAAAAGTTTGCCCACCCCGATCTAGACCATCCCTGACAGGTGTTTGTCCAACCTGCTCTTAAAAATCCCCAATGACGGAGATTCCACAACCTCCCTAGGCAATTTATTCCAGTGCTTAACCACCCTGACAGTTAGGAAGTTTTTCCTAATGTCCAACCTAACCCGCCCTTGCTGCAATTTAAGCCCATTGCTTCTTGTCCTGTCCTCAGAGGTTAATGAGAACAATTTACCTCCCTTCTCCTTGTAACAACCTTTTATGTACTTGAAAACTGTTCTCATGTCCCCTCTCAGTCTTCTCTTCTCCAGACTAAACAAACCCAGTTCTTTCAATCTTCCCTCACAGCTTATGTTTTCTAGAGCTTTCATCATTTTTGTTGCTCTTCCCTGGACTTTCTCCAATTTGTCCACATCTTTCTTGAAACGTGGCACCCAGAACTGGACACAACACTCCAGTTGAGGCCTAATCAGTGTGGAGTAGAGCGGGAGAATGACTTCTCGTGTCTTGCTTACAACACTCCTGCTAATACAGCCCAGAATGATGTTCGCTTTTTTTACAACAGTGTTACACTGTTGACTCATATTTAGCTCTTGGTCCACTCTGACCCCAGATCTCTTTCCACAGTACTCCTTTCTAGGCAGCTATTGCCCATTTGTTCTTATTGAATTTCATCCTATTTATTTCAGACCATTTCTCCAGTTTTGTCCTGATCATTTTGAATTTTAATCCTATCCTCCAAAGCACTCACAACCCCTCCCAGCTCGGTATCGTCCACACACTTTATCAGTGGACTCTCTCTGCCATTATCTAAATCATTGATGAAGATATTGAACAGAACCAGACCCAGAACTGATCCCTGCGGGACCCCACTCGTTATGTCCTTCCAGCGTCACTGTGACCCACTGAGAACTACTCTCTGGGAACGGTTTTCCAACCAGTTCCAAACCCACCTTATAATAGCTCCATCGATGTTGTATTTCCCTAGTTTGTTTAGAAGAAGGTCACTCGAGACAGTATCAAAAGCCTCACTAAAGTCCAGATATACCACGTCTCCCGCTTCCCCCTACGCACGAGGCTTGTGACCCTGTCACACAAAGCTTTCAGGCTGGTCTGACACACTTTGTTCTTGACAAACCCACGCTGACCGTTACTTATCACCTCATTATCTTCTAGATGTATGCAAATTGATTGCTTAATTATTTGCTTCATTATCTTTCCAGGTATAGAAGTTAAGCTGACTGGTCTGTAATTCCCCGGTTTGTCTTTATTTCCCTTTTTATAGCTGGGTACTAGATGTGCCCTTTTCCAGTCTTCTGGAATCTCTCCCACCTTCCAGGACTTTTCAAAGATAATCGCTAATGGCTCCGATATTTCCTCAGTCACTCCTTGAGTATTCTAGGATGCATTTCATCAGGCCCTGGTGAGCTGAAGACATCTAACTTGTCTAAGTAATTTTTGACTTGTTCTTTCCCTATTTTAGCCTCTGATCCTACCTCATTTTCACTGGCATTCACTATGTTAGACGTCCAATCATCACCAGCCTTCTTGGTGAAAACCGAAACAAAGAAGACATAAGCACCTCTGCCATTTCCACATTTTCTGTTATTGTCTTTCCCCCCTCACTGAGTAACGGGCCTACCTTGTCCTTGGTCTTCCTCTGGCTTCTAATGTATTTGTGGAATGTTTTCTTGTTACCCTTCATGTCCCTAGCTAGTTTGATCTCCTTTTGTGCCTTGGCCTTTCTAATTTTGTCCCTACATACTTGTGTTATTTGTTTATATTCCTCCTTTGTAATTTGCCCTATTTTGCACTTTCTGAAGGACTCTTTTTTGAGTTTTAGATCATTGAAGATCTCCTGGTTACGCCAGGCTGGTCTCTTGCCATCCTTCCGTCTTTCCTACGCGGTGGGGTAGTTTGCTCTTGTGCCCTCAGTAATGTCCCTTTGCTTCCCGTGGGATCTGACCTGCCAACTCCCTGAGTTTGCTAACGCCTGCCGCCTTGAAACCCATGGTCTGTATTGTGCTGTTCTCCCGCCTACGAATCACCAACTCGACCATTCCAGGGTCACGTCCACGCTCCAATTCTCAATGATAACGGGGTATAGAACATTCCATGATAGGATGGGGGTGTCGTGAATTATAGGGGGCATTGGAATGTTCCATTATAGCGGGGATGGGGGTGTTAGAATGGCCCATTATAGGTGGAACATTCCATTTTGGAGGGTAGAGGGGTGTCTCCTTGTGGAAGGGCCTATTATCTCCGGGGAGGTGGGCTAGTTCCTGATGGCATGACCCAGATGAGGGAGAGTGGCACAGTCCATTTAATGGGGAGGCGGAATGGTGGAATGGCCCATTACAGCAATCCCGGGAGGGTGCCACTGCGAGGAACTGTCTATTATAGCAGGTGGACTTGAAACATCCCATGATTATATGAAGGGGGAGTCTCCCAGTGGAATGGTCCATTATATTTGTAAGTAAATGTGGTTGGAACTTCTCACTGTAATGGGGAGGTGCCTCTCCAGGTGGAATGGTCCATTATAGCAGGTGGGATTGGAACATCACATTATAATAACGAAGGGGAGTGTCATGGTGAAATAGTCCTTTATCATTATTGGAGGGGGGGTTGGAATATCCCATTGTACTATGTGGGTGCGGGGGGATCTCCCAGTGGGACATTTCATGATGGCAGGGCAGGTGTCTATGGCCTGGTCAGGATTAGTCTACAATACATAAACCCCCCCTCAGCCTTCCCCTCCCTGGATTCTCCACCCCCCACCCCGTTCAATGGAGTATGCCCTAATAAACCTCCTCCTTTTCCAGGAGACCCTCCTCTTGGGAATAAATTATGCAAATGATACTGCCCCTCTCCGAAAGGTGCATATTTGCATAAATTATGCAAGCAAATATTCTCTTATTTACATAATTTGCCTTAGGACACCACCCCCATTGTTACATAAATTATGCAGATAGAAAAAACTGTTAATGGCGCCCTTTGATTTTTCAAAACCCATGTTAATTACAGGCCCTCCCACACGCACACTGCATTCCAGCTGGTCCCCGCCTCCTTTCCAATAAATTGTTCAAATCAACTGATTTTATTATGCCAGAAGCCACGCCCCTTATGCAGATGAGGACATTAAATTACCTCAATGGCATTACATCACAATCCAGGATTTATGCAAATTAGAAGGATCTCCAGGTATTAGCCCAGAAGCCTCTTATATTTTGCATACATTATGCTAATGAGCAAAGCGCTCCCTATGCCCCTAGTTCATTACATCTCTGTTTATGCAAATGAACAGACCCTCCAAATAATCCAGTTTTAGTGTGGGTGGGTTGCACGTTAGGTACATGAACATAACCACTAAATAACCCTGGTTAATTATAATTACACCACTAGCCTAGGCTGCCTTGTAAAAGTTATGCAAATGAACAGAAGCCCTTAAGCACACCTCGTTTTATTTTATCAATAGCCACTCTCCTAGTGCATAAATTATGCAAATATAAAAGAGCTTAATTTGATACCAGGAACCTCCTTCCCTTCGCAGACATTATGCAAATGAGAGACAAACTCACAAGACTTCTGCTGGACCACAAACCTCTCCTCTTTTGCATAAATTATTCAAAAGAGAAAGCGTCCGAAACGTCAGCCGCAATCCAAAAGCTCCGCCCTTTTGCATAAATTATGCAAATCACAAACAACCCCCTAAAGGCCACTATTCCATCCTGCAAGAATCCCCACCGCTTCTGCATAAATTAGGCAAATTTTTCAGCCCCGTGCCAATGCTGTGGCCCTGGGAAGCCCCGCCCCCTTCCTATTGACCTTTCTCCGCCCCCTCCCAGACCCTAGCCCCGCCCTTACGCAGCGTGGGGGCGTGGCCTCTCCTGCGCCGCCGGGGCCTGGGACCCGGATGGCCGTTTAGTCGGTGCCGAGACGCCGAGGCTCCCACATCGGGCCCTGGAAAAAAAAAAAAAAAAAGGGGGGGGGGGGACCCGCCGTAATCCGCATCCATCCTCCGCCTGACGCCCCCATCCGCTCTCGGGAAGCCCGTATCCGGATAGAGCGGACCGAGCCCGATCCGAAGAGGTGGGTATCGACCCGGTTCCGACCCACTGGGCTCGGCTCTCAGCCCCTAGAAAGGGGGCGGGGGGGGAGACGGCTCGGCTCGAGCCGGTAGAACGTTCAGGCCTCCGCCATCTTGTTTCCAGCCCTCTCCTTCTCCCTCCCCCCCCATCTTCATCCACATCCATCCGCCCCTCGGGGGCCCCCATCTTCCCCCCTGGACCCCCCCATCCCCTCCCAAATCGCTTCCACTACCACCTCCAGGGGCCATTTGCCCCATGGGGGGGCGTCTGGGGTCACTAACCCACCCCAATACAGAGCCTCAGAGAGGAGGGTTCAAGTGACTGTTGAGGGGGGAGTAGTGCCCCCACAATTCCCCAAAACGTGTCCCCCCTGGGGTGTGGGCTCCATGAGGGGTCACCATGGGGTGTATGCAGTGGGGGGCCTGGATCCCCTTGCACCCCCCTTTTGGCCCCAGAATTTCAAAGCCACTGAAGCTACCCCACAAGTTTAAAGGGGAATGGGGGGTTAATGGGGTTTTGGGGTGAGGGTATCAGGGGGGGCTGGGCAGGTGGGGAGAGACGGGGTGAAGGCTGCTGTCACCCCCTTCTCCCCCATGGCTGTCAATTTTACCCCCACGATTCAACCCACTGCAAAAATCCTGCCCGCTCTTTGTGGGGTCCCGGCACATTTGTAGGAGCGGTCTTGGGGTACCACAGAAATCTGGGGTCCGTGGGGATGCCTGGGCAAGGGGTGAATCTCATTGTTCTTTCTCTGTTTCCCTAAAAAAAAAAAAAAAATCAACCCCACGGAACACCTCAGCGCTCATTTTGGGGGGGCTTTTGATGCTACTATTGGGGTGACTGTGAATTTTGGGGTGCACGTTGATGCCAGAGCAGGGCTGCGTCTTAGTGAACCCGCTGCTTTGGGGGAAAAAATCAAAGCCACTGTAAAAACCTCATCTGTATTTCTGGGGTGGCATTGTTTCATGTATTGGGGTATTGTTGAGATTTGGGGGGAGTCAATCAGGGCTAATTAAATCCCTTTTCATTCTTTCTATAGCACCCTAAAGTATTTAAGTCACTGCCAAAAACCCAGCCCACTTTTGCGGGGGGTAAGACAAAAATTCTCATGGAAATAATGGTCTGTCATTGAAATGTGGGGTGCATGCTGGTGGCAGATCAGGGGTGCCATTTAATTTCTCTCTTTCCCTCCTGTTATTTAAAGTGGCACCCTGAATTCATCTGAAAAACCCCATCTACGCTAGTGAGATGGTACTGAAATTTGGGGTGCATGCCTGTTGATCTCGTGGAAACCTCCTTTTCCTTTCAACGACACCTGAGAAAAATCTTAAACCGCTGTAAAAAAAAAAAAAAATACAACTAAACCCCAATTTTGGGGTAATAGACAACTTTCCTCATTCTGGGGTGTTGGTTTAGGACACAACAGGGGGGTGGATCTAAATGAACCCCCTCCTTTCTTGGCAGTGCCCTCGTATTTTTAAATTACTGGGGGTGGGGGGGAATCCAGTCCCACATTTTCAGGCTGCTGGAAATCGGGGTATTGCTGAAATCTGGGTAGGGGAAGGTGATTATGAAGCAGGGGGGAGCTTTTCCTAATTTTCCCCACCCTAAAAATATTCCATTGCAATGGAAGGAGAAAATATGGGGTGCTCATAGTAGAATAGGGTGTGAATTAGCCAGTAGTTTGATACCACCCTAAAAAAATAAACCATTGGCAATTTAAATGATAATCATGGTGGTGTGGAGATTTGGGGGTGTATTTTGGTGGTGGTGTGTAGCTTTACCCCTACAAACCCGTCAGTCCCTCCTTTAAAATGATATTGGGGTGATTCACATTTGGGGTGTGGTGACGGGATGAAGGAAGGTCTGGGTATCACCCCCCCCAGAAATAAGCCCCAATAACCAAAAAAAAATAAAAATCCACATGGATGTTCATTTGGGGAGGGGGGGTGCTGCCGTTTTGGGGTGGTCAATTTGAACTCTACCCTATATTTCAGCACCGCCCTACACCTACCAGTTGAATGCAGCAATCACAGATTCACTATTAGTCTGTGATTAGGGTGGGAATCAGCGGGTTTGTGTTGGTTTTGGGGGCTGGATTCTTATTTTACTTCTCTTTCTTACCCCGTAATTATCCTTTTCTCATAAAGAACGTTTAGGGCTAATATCATTGAATTTGGGGAGGTATATACGAGGTGGAATCGAAATACTACCCCACCCCTTTATAATGCCAACTCAGGCTTCAGCAGCTACATTATTTATATTCAGTCATTATCTGATTTATTTTTTTAAAATTATGTTGAAAGTGAAATTTGGGGCGTGGAGGGGATTCGGTCTTGATTTTTTTATTTTAAACTAGGAAAGAAGTAAAATAAGAGAGATCTGTGTGAATTATTAATAAATAGCCATTTAGCGTTAGAAAGCCAGTACATTTTGGGGCTGTGGAGTTGGTAATTTAAATAAAAAGGAGAGAATATAATAAAGAATGCATACCGTGCTGTGTGTACTGTAGGACTAATAATACAGAGTGAACTGAAATCCCTGACCATTATGTGGGCGTTTAAAAGATGGGGGAGCGAAGGGGGGAAGGTGGGGTTGGTATCCCTCGCTATTTTATTTTCGTTAAAATGTGGGTGTGCACAGTCGTCACCATATTTTGTGTTGTCTTTCTCGTGACACTCTGGAGGGCTGGGGCAGCACCGAAGAATCACGGTTAATTTGGCAGCATGCTTAGGGTTAGAAGAAAATTAGGAATGGGGGGAAAGGAAGCAGCTGAAATGATGGGTGGGGTCTTCTGATTTGCATGGTCCAGGCAATGTCGACATCGGTGAGGTGTCTGACATCTAACGATGAATTGAACAGTCCGTATCTGTGTATCATGGCGACTCTCCAATTAAGGCTGGGGGTCTCTTACCCCCCTGGAATTTATGATGCAAAAACATTCATGAATTCAATCATCGTCAAGGTTTTAAGAGGCCTCCCCAGGAGTATGCCGGTGGCGCTCTACCAAAGACAATGCTAAATTAATAAACCATTCGAAATGAACAGACATTATAATGAACTAACCCCCCGCTAGAGCTGTATTTGTGTATTGACATCAGGGACCACCCTGGTTATGCTGATGAATGCCAGATCCGAATGGTTTATTAATTCCATCTGCAGTGATATTCAGAATAACCGGCTCTCTGTACACTAATTGTTACCCGACGACACCAGGACGTTTTGCTGAGTTGTGAATGGATCCCCTTTTTGTGGGGGTGACGGGAAAATTATTCCTAGGGGAATCTTTATTTTCGTCTCCCTGCAGTGCTCATGATGGAGCATCCGTAATGTAGCCAAATTTCTACGTTTCGTGGTAGGGAACTAAATGTATACCATCGCTGCAAAGAGACCGGAGGAAGAATTCTGATTTACCTGTAAGTAAGGCCAGGAGAGATCGTTAAACCTTCCCTTTAATTACTAGATAAATAATCCACGACTATTAGCACGCATCATCTCTCTTAGAGAGGCCCCCAAATTACACTTATTCTAAAGCTCCATACACTGTTCGAGGGGCAGCCGATGTTACGTGTGACTGGAATGGGCCCTTTAAAAAGAAAATCCGTCATTTGAATGATCAACATTTGTGCAAAGAACCGGACACCTGAATAGCGAGGGTTTGCCTGGTCCCAAAACAAGATTAAAACACAGTATCAGTTGTCACTTTCCCAGCGAGTTCCAGTGGATGCTGCCCTGTTCCCGGATACTTCAGATGTAGCGGGATTGGTGCTTAAAGAAACCCAACCTCTCTGCTTCCTTCTCCGACACCTTCCTTCCATCTGCCAATCAAGTATCTGTAAAATAAAGGTTCTCCCCCCCCCCCCCCCCCCCCAAAAAAAAGGTGTTTTGCCCCTTGATCTCTAAGTAACTTGCAGCCATTTGTGGGAGATAATTGTCATGGCGTTACAATCTTAACACAGGATTTCAAAGATGGGCATTCACACAATACGTGTTAATCCCACGCTGTATCATTCACGCTTTAATTATATATAAATCATGTTAATGTTTTGTATTTTTTGGGATCTAGTGGACACAGCTGTGAATTGGACCAGTTATTAATATTTGTCTTGTTTACTCCTCACTTTATGATGTGATTGTCCTGTTTATCTAACAATATTTGTATTTCACTGTGGTGTTACGTACCAGGTACACTTAATCCTGCCTGGATGGGCTAGATTCTCTCTTCCAGGCCTACGTTTCTGTCGTTCTGTGGTAGTTGTATCCCCTGTTTGTTTGTTAACCATGTATATTGTGTGTGTATATTGCTAACGTTCTGTTTAACAATATTTAACAGGATATTTATTCTGGGTGCATTTTAACCTTTGTTCCTAAGAATATCCTGTATTCTCTTTCTTTCTTAGCCATATTTCTTAACAATATCTTGTATTTCTTAGCCATATTTGGTGTGACATTGTTAACACAAGGTACTGCCAGCCGATAAGAGGCATGCATAGTATTGTTAAGTGTTTTCGTTAAGTGTTTACGCCATGACTGGATTGTTTCCCCTTTAAATCTTAACAATCTTTGTGGCTCTGGATGTCTTGCTAACAAATAGAGAGGTGTGAACAATCCACATACACAATAAGAATTAAAGTGTTTGCAAATACAGGTACACCTCTACCCCCATATATCTCTGTCCTTGGGAGCAAAAAAATCTTACCGCATTATAGGTGAAACCGCATTATATCAAACTTGCTTTGATCTGCCGGAGTGTGCAGCCCTGCCCCCCCGGAGCACTGCTTTATCGCATTATATCCAAATTCGTGTTATATCGGGTCGCGTTATATCGGGGTAGAGGTGTACTGCTCTTGAGACAAAAAAAGCTGCTGTTAAGATTTGGGCCCCACCCCGCGATAATGACCCTTAGCTTTTACCTAGCACTTTCCATGGCTAGCTCTCAAAGTGCTTTACTAAGAAGGGTTAGTGTCCTTCTCCTGAGTTTACAGATGGGGAAACTGAGTCACGGGGAAGTGACTTCCCCTAAGGTCACCCAAGAGGCCAGGACGGAGCTAGTTCAAGGCAGGTGTCCTGAGTCCCTGTCCAGCGCGTTAATCTGCTAGGCCACACGGCTGCCTTTCTGGAAAGAAAATGCAGGATGGTCTTTACGACTACAGAGCAGCGTACATAACCCACCGGAGAAATGAATTAATATTGGGAGCCATTAGGAACACAGAGGCTCGTACTGGTGTCTTTGCGCTGCGTGGGTTATTTACAATCTTTGTATTTATTAAGAGTCTGGCTTTTTTTCCCCCTCCTGTTCTTGACCAGTCGTTTTTTCTTGATTCCTTCCATCCCTCCTCGTTTAACAGCGGTTGATTATTCTGGGTAGATTGTAAGAGGATTGCCTAGATTTCATGTGGATTTGTTTGTGCCCTTCCTTTGTTAATAGTAGTTTTGTTAGCGATAATTCTGGATGCTTTGGCTACACCTCTCCATTAGCAGGATGGTTTTTTGCTAGCGATATTATTTGTTACTTACTCCGTCCAGATTGGATAATTGTTCTTTGTAAGGATTGATTCCTCCCCCCCCCCTTTATTCTTAGGCTATTTTAGGGGTTGTTCTCGGGGTGGATTGTGTTTCTGCTTTTATTTTCTCTGTCACAGGTTCCTGTCCTTCTGCTTCCTTCCCCACCTTCTGAAAATCCAGCCAGGAATTAATTCAGGGCAGAGCAGTGGCCTGTTGTACAGGGAGTCAGACTGAGACTACGTCTTCACTACGGGGGGGGGGGGGGGAGTCGATGTAAGATACGCAAATTCAGTTACGCGAATAGCGTAGCTGAATTCGACATATCCGAGCCGATTTACCCCGCTGTGAGGACAGCGGCAAATCGACCTCCGCGGCTCCCCTGTCGACGGCGCTTACTCCTACCTGTGCTGGTGGAGTAAGAGCGTCGATTCGGGGATCGATTGTCGCGTCCCAACGAGACGCAATAATTCGATCCCCAAGAGATCAATTTCTACCCGCCGATTCAGGCGGGAAGTGAAGACGTAGCCCCAGGCTGAGAGTTATCCTTTCTGGCCTTAATCTGTGAAAATAAGCCCAGCCATCAATATCAGGAGGACCTCCTTGGGGTGTGGCTGTAACATTATCACCTGTCAGTTTGGGGCAGTGGAGTCATGGGTTTTCAGGGACCATTAGATCATCTGCTCTGAGTTTTCCTGTGTCACCCAGGCGAGGGAATCTCACCTGTTCCCCTGGCAGGCTGGAAATCCCAAACGACAGGGTGTGTAATTCTGTTGGCTGTTCCGTTATTCTTTCCCTGACAGTAGCCGCCCCATGGCCTGTGATTTCCAAATCCCATCTCTCTGCGCCATGGATTCTGTCCTCCCCAAACCTCCCCCTAAATTGGTCTGTGCTGGGGGTGGAGGGGAGAGACATCCCTGGTTCTTTTCCCACCACCCCTCCCTTTCCCCCTCATGGCTGCTAAAAGCGGCCAGTTTTATTCCCCCCTTTCCCAGGCCCTCCCAAGGGAGCGCTTGCAGCCTGGCTGGGCTCTGGAGAATTCCTCCCAGCTGCAGCCTCTCTGCCCAGCTGTGTCTTCCGACTCCGGGCTCGGGGTGTTGGCTCAGCCAGGAAGTATGGGGAAATCGGGCGCGGTGATTTCAGAGAGCGAGCGCACAGATTTAGCTTTCGGTTGGAAAGTGCTGCAGATCCCTTGGCGAGACACCGGTCCTGCTTTATAGCAGGGGGGCTGGGAGCCAGGACTCCTGGGTTCTCTCCCCAGCTCTGGGAGGGGAATGGGGGCTGGTGGGTTAGAGCAGGGGGGCTGGGAGCCAGGACTCCTGGGTTCTCTCCCCGGCTCTGGAAGGGGAGTGGGGGTTGGGGGGGGGGGCTGGGGGCCAGGACTCCTGGGTTCTGTCCCTGGCTCTGGGAGGGGAGTGGGGGCTGGTGGGTTAGAGCAGAAGGTTCTCTCCCCAGCTCTGGGAGGGGAATGGAGGCTGGTGGGTTAGAGCTGGGGGGCTGAGATTTCATATGGCTGACTCCAGGCAGCTTTAGGCTGGATTTCCCCATCGCCAGGCACTTGGGGTGAGCTGCCCCTCCTGAAATCCAAGACAGCCCCATCCCATGTCCTCATGCGACCCCAGCGTTGAGCTGGACCCCAGCTGTCAGGGAGACCCTGCGATCCCAGGCGTCTCAGCTGTGCTGAGCTCAGGCTCAGAGGGTGAGTCAAGGACGTGCCCTTAAAGGGGCAGGTGCAGGCACTGAGGATGGAGTGAAACTAACCCCAGGGGTTAGAAACGCTTCCCTTCCCTGCCCCGGGTCTGACCCGGAAGGAAAACACCAACTGCCTCAGGGCCACATTACGCAAGTGGCCCCGTCAGTTTCATCTTCCCTTGTTTGTTTGGAACTACAGAAATACCCCCTCATTCCTGGTTCCCTGTTGTGTGGCCTTGAGGAAGTATGGACTGCATTCAGAGCCAGATCTCCTTCACCCCCCTGTTGTTGTTTATGTTGCAAGGGGAAAGTTTGAAATCCAAAGCAAAATTGCAGCAAAACCTTTCCCAGGGATGCTGGATTGGCTGATCTATTGTTATAACAAACCCTCATGTTCCTGGACTTAAAATAAAAACCATACGGGACTCAACCACTCTCATAAAAAACCAGGGGTCACTTTGTCTGATGCTGTCTCTGTCGTTTTCTTTTTTTAAAATGGTCTCTCGTAGGAAGTGGGTGAGGTGGTTTGTGTGGGACCTAACATAAACACAGAGCTTTAAACCAATTCCCCTTGAAACACCCACTTTCAGCGGAAAGGCAAATTTGTAAAGGTGACAAGGAAACTCGGAAGGGCAGAAAAATGGCAGGATTCCCAGGTCCTGTCCCGGGCTCTAGCTGGGGGGTGGGGTTAGAGGGGGTGGGGCTGGGAGCCAGGACACCTGGGTTCTCACCACTGTCCTCCCTGCAGACAGAGGCACGTTTCGCGAGGCGCCAGGAGGAACCAACGTACTCAATGACCTTCCAGCGCGATGTCAGATCGTTTGGGGCAAACAGCAAAGGGGAAGGATGGAAAAAAGTATTCGTCGCTCAACCTGTTTGATACGTACAAGGGAAAGTCCTTAGAGATTCAGAAACCCACAGGTACAGGCACGAAGGGGCGCTGTGCTGCAGGGAGGGGGCCGTAGGGGGCGCTGTGCTGCAGGGAGGCGGGTGCAGGGGGCCGTAGGGGGCGCTGTGCTGCAGGGAGGCGGGTGCAGGGGGCCGTAGGGGGCGCTGTGCTGCAGGGAG